AGCAGACAAGTAAACGGTAGAACCGGGCGAGCGGGCCGGGCCGGCGGACCTTGGCTGGCGGGCCCAGGCAGCGGGGTCGAGCAGGCGTGTCGCTGAAGCGTGAGCCCTGCATGGATCGTGCGATTCCACCGTACATCGGTTGAGCATCCAAAGCGAAAGCGTGAATCCTGAGTGTTGTGGCCGCGGTGTTCCAATGAATTGCGAGGAAGTACCATTCGAGAGCGCGATTCATGTATAATTTGTGAGGAAGGCCCCCGCGAAAACGTGATTTATAATAAATTGTGGTGAAGGATCAGGTGGGAATCGTCGTTGTTGTTGTCGTTGTTGTTGCTCGTGCCGTTGATGATTTGCATTCCCCCCAACAAAAAGGGTTTGTTGATCCACATCCTTCAGGGCACACTGCGACATTCAATTGAAGTTTTTCTCCCGGGGCTCGCACTCTTTTTTGTACAAGGGGAAGCGAGGGGTCACCAATTTGGGTCCTTGGCCCCTGACTTACAACAACAACGGCTCCCGCCTAACATGTTCCACAATTGATCTCAAACTCGGGCTTTCGCGCGGGACGTCCTCACAACTGATGGAAGAATCGCGCTCTCGCGTAGGATTTCCTTTCAAGTTATTCAGGCGCCGCGCCCTCGACACGCTGGAATCACGCTTTCGCTGTGGATGTCCGCACGATTTATTTGGGAATCGCGCTATCGCGCGAGACCTCTTGGCGACTCATGCAGGACGCACGCTTCAGCAACCCGCCTGCTTGATCTGGCCGCCTGGGGCCCGTCTTCCGACCCGCCCGTTGGGATCTACCCGCCTGATTTGCCCGTCTGGTTCTACCAAGTGCTTCCTGCGCCTAACCCCCTCGTGCTACCCTCTCTCGTGCTCCCTCCTCCTTCCTCTCCCATGTCCCTTCCTTTCATCCGTCCCCTCGTCCCCTGCCTTCTGGCTGTGCGAACTACACGTTGCAGGTAGGAAAGCTATGAACCCGCACGGGAACACGATCGAAGACGAAGAGGGCGGGCATCGAGGGTTTGGGATATACGTGTTGGATGGCACGTGAGCAGATAAGAGCGAACAGTAATACAATTATGTTTGTGGAATGTTTATTATTAAACAATTATTATTGGACCCCTTAAAGGCGCCCTGGCGCTCTCGCCGAGGCGCCGGCTGCATTTTCATTGAAAATGAAGCTCACGCTCGAGCGATGTGGGGGACCGCCGAAACCGGCCCCCCCACAACAACAACGTGCCCGCTCGAGACTTCCTCCTTTTTTGCTCAGGGCTGGTGTTCTTGCTCGCCGCCGAAAGCCGCCGTCCTAACAAAACCAGCGCTCTCGCTCGAGACTTCCTCCCGTTGTGCCTTGGACTGGCGCGCTAGTCTTTTTCTCATCGGCGCCGCCCCCAGCAAAAACAACGCTCCCGCTCGAGACCTCCTCCCTTGTTTACTCAAGGCGGTGCTACTCCTCGCCGCCGAAAACCGCCGCCCCGACAAGATCAGCGCTTCTGCCCGAGATTTCCTTCCGTTTTACGCTGGACTGGCGCCCAACCTTCTTTTGAATTGGCGCCGCTCCCAGCAAGAACAACGCTCCCGCTCGAGGCTTCCTCCCTTTTTCCTGAAGACGGTGCTGTTCCTCGCCGCCGACAAGCCCCTTCCCGACAAAAGCACGGTTCGCGCTCGATGTTTCCTCCCTCCTTACTCAAGGCGGTGTTCCTCCTCGCCGCCGAAAACCGCCGCCCCGACAAAACCAGCGCTCCCGCCCGAGACTTCCTCCGTTTTACGCTGGACTGGCGCCCTACTTTCTTTTGAATTGGCGCCGCTCCCAGCAAGAACAACGCTCCCGCTCGAGGCTTCCTCCCTTTTTCCTCGGGACGGTGCTGTTCCTCGCCGCCGACAGCCCCCGTCCCGACAAAGCACGGCTCCCGCTCGATGCTTCTTCCTTTCTTGCTCAAGGCGGTGTTCCTCCTCGCCGCCGAAAGCCGCCGTCCCAACAAAACCAACGCTCCCGCTCGAGACTTCGTTTTGTTTCACGCTGGACTAGCGCCGTCCTCTCTTCAGCATTGGCGCCGCTCCCTTCAACAACAGCAGCCCTGCTCAAGACTTCCTCCCTTTCTATTCAGGGCCAGGTCCTTGCCTCACCGCCGACAGCCCCCATCCCCACCAAGGCAATCCTGTCGTTCGATACTTCCTTGTGCTTTTCCCGTCGCTGGTGTTCCACTGGCGGTCGCGCATCGGCGCAGCAAGGCGCGGGCATGTGTTTTCGAGGCGGGATATGTTGAAATTCCTCGGAGGAGGTGTTTGCAAGACCTCCTTGGGCTGGATATGTGGGAATGGGAATAACGGACCCCGCTATAGAACAAGAGTCCCCCATGATGTGGATGGTTATCATCATGGTCGCATGCTCCGTGTGGAAACATCGCGCATGAGGGTAAATTGTTTGTTGTTGTTGCTGTTGTTGTTGTTGGTGTTGGTGTTGTTGATGTTGATGTTGTTGTTGTTGTTGTTGTTGTTGTTCTTGTTGTTGTTGTTGTTGTTGAACATTATTACTTCTAAAGAATAATTATTGTTGGGACCCCTGGTGCGCGGCCCCCTCGCCGCGCCTAGGCCGCAGCCACATTTTCATCATTTTCGTAAGGAAGTCTCAGGCAAAACGGGTTGGTCCGGATCCGGTTGTTTTGTTCCCCCCCGCTTTCCCTTGCAAGAAACAATCTAAAGTGGACATTTCTTGTTCTAACATAACCAAACTTCAAGAATCCCTTGCAAAAAATAAGGTAAAGTGGACATTCGCGCGCGCAAGACGAAATCCCTCCAAAACCTTAGTTTTCGTAGCGATTTTAACATAAAAACATCAAAAAACCAATGGTTTTTCAAAAAAAAAATGTCAAAATTTCATCCCGCGCGCTCGTGCGGATTCGTAGGAAACCCAACACTTTTTAAACATTTCTGTCAAACGGGCTTTTGCGAGCAACTTTTTCGAACTTCTGCAACAACGGTTGCGCACCTGCCAGGGCCATCATCCCTGTCAAATAATACCATGCGGGACACATTCGTTTTTTCTTCGCGCGCGCACGCCGTCGTCGTCGGCCGCGGGGCCCTGAATAGTAGCCACGGTCGTCCGCATGCCACGAAGTGAAGTGTCCGAACGTCATAGGGCGGGAAGCTGGGTGTGGGTGGTGGCGAAGAGTCGTTTGGAAATTTGGTAGAGCTTGAACCGGCCCCCCCACAAAGTGGGGGTATTGCCCGCCTCCTATGAAAACCCTGGCACTGGTGAGAACGGAGTGTCCCCACGTGCTAGTAATTGTTGTTGTTGTTTTTGTTGTTGTTGTCGTTGTCGTTGTTGTTGTTGTTGTTGTTGTTAGGAATGGTCACTTCCGAAGGATACTTGTTGTGGTCCCTTTGCCCGGTAACTATTGTATATTTCAATGTCAAGTCCTTTTTCTCGGTGTCGCACTCTTATTTTACGAGGGGAAGCGAGGTGCCACCAAATTGTGCCCCTGGTAGTGGCTTACAACAACAGCAACAACAATCATTTCAATAGTGTTCAGAAACTTCAACAACAGCGGTTCCCGCCTGATACTTCCTAACAATGTATTCCCAAGTGGCGCTCTCGCGCTGGATTTCCTCACACATTATACAGGAATCGCACTTTCGCGTGGGTGCTCAGAAGAGGGGGGCGAGGATGAGGGAGGCGTGGATATCTTGGCCGGGGCCATGACATCTCCCAAACTTTCGTTCCCTGTCTTCTTCTTTCTTGGTCCCTGGTCCCCCCTCGCTCGCGCACACACACACACACACACCTCGGGCCATGATTTGCGACCCCCCTTCTTGACCGCCCCCGAACCTTCCAGGCGTTGCGCTTCCCCTACCGCTATCCTGGGCTCGGCGAAGTCTCCCAGCCTTTTCGCGGTGAGCTCAGCCCTCGCTAAGAGATTATGAATCATTCTGCAACCGCTTTTGGTCGTGTATGTGCAACGCAGCACCTGCGCCATGGCGCGCTCCAGGAGGTCTCCCAGTGCCCTTGCTTCTGGATCCGTGGGCTTATTCGTTGGTCCTGGTTCCGTCTCCCCCCCGTTCCCAGCTCCAGGGACTGGACCTCCGTGGACGGCGTTGCCCAGGACCATAGTCTATAGGCATCTCCCAGGAGGCTTCTACGCTACTGATGGTACGGGCCACGAGTTTGCTAAGATCCCTGTCCTCCGCCGCGTTGCCTTTGCTTTGTGAGGCTCCGCCCCAGCGAGGATTTGGATTGGGACTGTAGTGTGACTGGCGTGCTCGACTCGGTTCGACAGACGGTGCCTCGTGCGGAATTTGTTGTCGTGGAGTGCGTGCGAGGTGTCGATTCGACCCCAGATTTGCATGTGGTCACTGACCACGCCAATATCCGCAAGGGTTTCTCTGCCGGCGGTGCGTCCTTATTGAAGGCTGGCTAAGTTTGACATTTGGTGGGAGGCCTGGGGTCTCCTGGCCAACCGTCCTGGGCGGTTTCGGCTTACGCACGTTGCCGGCCACCTGCTGGACGATTCGCAAAAGTTCGCCCGTTTTTGCGACTTGGTTGACTGGGACCACGCTGTTCTGAATTATATTGCCGACGGGTTTGCTTATGTAAGAGCGTCTGAGTGCCAGGTCTCCCCCGACATTGCCACGGATTTACAATGGCCCGTTTCCTTGGCATGTTTCATCCTCAAGCGCAATGTTTCGATCATTCTCGCTTTGCTTCTTTCTCCCACACCCTCCCTCCTTCTTTCCTGTCCCCGCTCTCGAGGGACGGACAGATCATCCCCCCTTCTTCGCCTTGCGTTGACATTTTGGACTGTGCATTTTGCTGGCGCCACTTAGCAACGGCGTGCTTGCAGCGCCGACAGCTCTTAGTCCAAGACATTTGCCGCCTTCTTCGTGACCTTCCTCAGCCACCCCTCCCCCATGTGCGTCGCTGAACCCTCCTCCCTCCTTCCTGCGCCCCCATCGGCTCTGCACGCCGCCTGGCTTGTAGCAGCGCGCCTCCCCCCCAGCAGCAGCAACGGACTGTTCGACGTGGTTAGGCTGGCCGTTGCAACCCAGCGCGGCGCGCAGGACACGGGGGAATGATGAGCGTCCGCGTCGTCCCTTCCTTCACTGACGTCGCCAACCATCCTCATAATATCCGACGACACAAATCGGCATGAGCACAAGTTGTCGGATGTCCGCGTGGATTTCTTGGATCGACGCCGGCCCCCCCTGGCGGCGCCTCCTCCCCGACACGATCCGCGGTCGAGGGAGGCCGGAGAGGAGGAGGAGGAAGAGGAGGAGGAGGAGGAGGAGGAGGAGGAGGAGGAGGAGGAGAGAGGAGGAGGAGAGGAGGAGGAGAGAGGAGGAGGAGGAGGAGGAGGAGGAGGAGGAGGAGGAGGAGGAGGAGGAGGCGGGTCCAGCGCCGATTTAAGATACAGCCGGAGCGGTGCATGAGATCGAGCTCGGCTCGGGGCGTTCTTCGTGCTCTTGGCGGATGTTCCCTGTGCATCCTGGGGAGGGTACCCCAGATTTCGTAATAAAAGGGAGGGGGGTCTCATTTCGGGGGGGGTCTCTTCCAGGCCATCTTGGAGGGCCTGGGGGGGTCTGGGGACGATGTTTTGGAGGGCTCTCCCACGGGGGAGGTCTGAAATGGCTTGTCTTGGAGGGTCCAGACCCCCTCCCTTTTATTACGAAATCTGGAGTACCCTTAGATGTTCTGCTTGTTCTGGCCGACGCAGGGTCTCATGTTCTTCAGGGATGCTCTTCTGGCCTAGTCCCGACTGTAGCCGCGCGGAGGTCCGAACGTCTGTGTTTGTGTGTGTGTGTGTGTATCTCCGGCGGGGCTGGCCGCGCCGCCCGCTCGGAGAGCGATCCGTCCCTCCTGAGCGGCTCGTTCCGTCCGCCCCTCTTTCGGCCGCGCCCTCCCCTTCGCTCCTCCTCTTGCATGGTTTTTGTATGTTATCGTTTGTTTCGGTCCTCTGATTCGCTCTAACGGCATCCCCGTTTGCGTTTAGGCATCCCATCGCCAGCGCATACGTCCTTTGCCCAGCCGCCGACGCAAAAAGCGTTTGTGTGTCCTCGGATCAGCGGTGGTCTTGGGCAGGCCCCTTTTTCTCGGAGCTATCTCTGATGCGTTTGGGTTCGAAAGGGGCTCGGTGTCCCCTAGGTCCTCTCATGGCTGTTCCTCTGGCCGTCTTCGTGAACGCAGGCGGTTTTGGGATCAAAAGGGGCTTCGCCCCGTGTTTTTAGTCCAGCCAATCATGCTCATTTGCTGTAGCACCCTACAGTACAGCTGAAGCATTAATTCCTCAGCGAATTATTAATTGAGGAAAAATAGAAGTCGAGTAACGCTCTTATTCTCAACCATCATGTGGTGTCGGGTCCTCGTCTTGGAAAAGAAAAAACTGTGCCCCGCGTCTCCTCCTTCCTTTCTTCCTTCCTCCTCCCTCCTCCCCCATCCACCCTCCTTCCTGCGTTTCGCCCACCCAGCACAACCCTTCGTGGCCCCATAGGGAGCTCCGCCGAAGGCCCCAGTGCTACCGCCCGCATGCGTCACCCACATCCATGTCGGCACACCCCTCACACGTTTCGTGGCCCCAAAGGGAGCTCCGCCGAAGGCCCCAGTGGCACCGCCCGCATGCGTCATTCCCCACTCAGTACAGCGCTTCGTGGCCCCATAGGGAGCTCCACCGAAAACCCGAGCGGCATCGCCCGCAGGCGTCACCCCCACCCAGTACAGCGCTTCGTGGCCCCATAGGGAAGTCCGCCGAAGGCCCCAGTGGCACCGCCCGCATGCGTCATTCCCCACTCAGTACAGCGCTTCGTGGCCCCATAGGGAGCTCCACCGAAAACCCGAGCGGCATCGCCCGCAGGCGTCACCCCCACCCAGTACAGCGCTTCGTGGCCCCATAGGGAGGTCCATCGAAGGCCCCAGCGGCACCGCCCGCATGCGTCATCCCCCACCCATTACAACGCTTTTTGTGAGCTCCGTCGAAGGCCCCAGTGGCACCGCCCGCATGCGTCACCCACACCCAAGACAGGTCTTCGCGGCCCCATAGGGAGTCCTGCCGAAGGCCTCAGTGGCACCGCCCGCATGCGTCACCCACACCAATTTCGGCACACCCCTCGCACGCTTCGTGGCCCCATAGGGAGTTCCACCGAAGGCCCCAATGGCACCGCCCGTATGCGTCATCCCCCACCCAGTACAGCGTTTCGTGGCCCCATAAAATGGGGCTCCACCGAATGCCTCAGTGGCACTCCCCGCATGCGTCACCCGCACCCAGTACAGCGTTCCGTGGTCTGATCGGGAGCTCATCCGAAGGCCCCAGCGGCAACGCCCGCATGCATCATCCCCCACCCAGTACAGCGCTTCGTGGCCCCATAGGGAGCTCCGCCGAAGGCCCCAGGCTCCGCCCGCGTGCGCCACCCCCACCGAGTACAGCGCTTCGTGGCCCCATAGGGAGCTCCACCGAAGGCCTCAGTGGCACCGCCCGCATGCGTCACCCCCTCCAGCGCAGCATTTCGTGGCCCCGCAGGAACTCCAACGAAGGACGCAGTGGCACAGCCCGCATGCGCCACCAACACCCAGTACAGCGCTTCGTGGTCTCATCTGGAGCTCCGCCGAAGGCCCCAGAGGCACCGCCCGCATGCGTCACCCCCACCCAGTACAGCGCTGCGTGGTCTCATCGGGAGCTCCGCCGAAGGCCCCAGTGGCACCGCCCGCATGCGTCACCCCCACCGAGTACAGCACTTCGTGGCTCCATAGGGAGCTCTACCGAAGTGTTCAGTGGCACCGCCCGTATGCGTCACACCCCACCCAGCACAGCGCTTCGTGGCTTTATAGTGAGCTCGATCGAAGGCCCCAGCGGCACCGCCCGCATGCGTCACCCACACCCAGTACAGCGCTCCGCGGCCCCATAAGAAGCTCCACCGAAGGCTTCAGTGGCACCGCCCGCATGCGTCACCCCCACCGAGTACAGCGCTTCGCGGCCGCATAGAGATTTCAACGGGAGGCCCCAGAGGACGCACATGCATGCGTCAACCCCGCCCTGTGCAGCGTTTTGTGGCCCAAAAGGAGCTCCAACGAAGGCCCCAGTGGCGGTGGTCAAATGCGCTCCCCTCGCCCAGCACAGCGTTTCGTGGCCTCATGGGGAGCTGCACCGAAGGCCCCGGAGGCTGTACTCGCATGTGTTTCCCCACCCATTACATTGTTTCGATGCCCCGTAGGGAGTTCCACCGAAGGCCCCAGTGGCGGCCCCGTCCCACTGCGGCGCACCCCTCACACTTTTCGCGGCCCCGTGGCGGCCCCGCCCCACATCGGCACACCATTCGCATACTTCATCGCCGCGCGAGAGGATCCTCCGAAGGCGATGCTGGCAACGACGGCACTCACAACTGCAAATGGTTGGGTTCTTCGCCGGGACACTTTTTCAGCGGCCCGATTATGCTCTGAGATCCGACGTCGCGATACACAGCCAACATCATGGGAAAGCTATCACCACCAGAGCCCTACACATTTCTTCTGCAGCCTTTTTTAAGCCAGAATCCTTTCGGAGGGCCCCACAGCCCGAAACCGGGCGAGAACGCCCGCTGCGCAAAAGATGCGACGCCAAGGCATTTCAAGGTAGGTGCACCCCGACGCCCGACGTCGCGCAGATGTAGCGACGGCGACCCCCCGACCCCATCTCCCCATCTCCTCCTGCGGCACGTCTCGAGCTGCACTGGCCTGGCCCCCTGGGCTGGCAGCTGGGACGGTACCGCGCGTATTGCGTTTGTTGCGCGATAGGACGGGGAAGAGGCGACCCAACCACCAGCGGGCCACGTCTGGCGAGGGGTCACACGATGCCGCATCCGACGATGATCAGAGGAGGAAAGGATGCCGGTACCGCTACCCGTCCGTCGTAGCCAACGCTGGATTCGCCTCGACATCCTGGTCAGACCGCGCCCTGGGAGAGGTCCGTGGGTTTGTCCCCCAGATGCCCCCCCTCCCCTCGAGCTGGTGCGCTGCAAGCGGGCCCAGAGTGTGGAGCGCGGCAATGCAGGGGGAGGAGGAGGCGAAGGAGGAGGAGGAGGAGCAGGAGGAGGAGGAGGAGGAGCAGGAGGAGGAAAAGGAGGAGGACGAGGATGAGGAGGAGGGGAGGAGGAGGAGGAGGAGGAGGAGGAGGAGGAGGAGGGAGGGGGATGATGAGGAGGAGGATGAGGACGAGGACGAGGAGGACGAGGAGGACGAGGAGGAGGAGGAGGAGGAGGGGGAGGAAGAGGAGGAGGAGGCGGAGGAGGAGGTGGGTGGCAGACATCGGTTTGATCCCTCCCAGGCTCCTCCCCCGTGGATGTTGGTGCGGGTGTGTTTGCTCCTTGGTGCGGAGCCTGGATCCGAGGGCAGGGGTCGATTTGTTGATGGACATCAGGACGTGTGTTTGCCCCGCCCATCTCCACCGCGAACAGTTAACGCTCAGACCGTACTGGCCATCTCCTGCCCCTTGGATTGCGGTTCTTGTGTATTTGCTACTTGGTGCGGAGCCTGGATCCGAGGGCAGGCGTATATTTGTTGATGGTCATAAGGACGTGTGTTTGCCCTGCTCCAGCGACCTCCCCTTCTCCTTCTCCTGATCATCATCCTCCTCATCCTCCTCATACTCCTCATCCTCCTCATCCCCCGCCCCCTACCCATACCCCCCCTCCCCCCTCCTTGTCCTCCTCCTTTTGTTCCACTCCCTCCGCCTCCTCCCCCTCCTCCTCCTCCTCCTCCTCCTCCTCCTCCTCCTCCTCCTCCTCCTCCTCCGTTCATCTCCATCGTGAACAGTTAACACGGTGCCCGTGCCGGCCCTCATTACACCGTTTGCATCGTATTCGTGTTCGTTGGACAAGCTCACGCTGGCGCGAACACACGTTCCGAAGATCGTCAAATTGGGCGTCGTGCCGTGGGGTGGCGCGAGGGGGACGGCCTTGAAAAGTCCGGTGGCTTCTCAGAAGGTGGGGCCCTTCCTCGAAGGCCTTGGAGGGTTCCTAAGAAGGCCTTTGCCTTTGCCCTCCAGGCTTCATGTCAGGCAGCACCCCCCTCACGCCACACCGCTTTCGTACGCGCCGCCACAAGCCGTATGTCTGTACGTGCAGATGCGGCGATCTGGTCCTCTCAGGACGACTCCAGACGCGGCCCCGCTCCGCCGCAGCATTGGGGCGCCGCGGAGGCCCCTGCGACGGCGGCGAGCGGACACAGAAGGAAGGGCATCAGGATGATCAGGAGACGAGGAGGAGGGGTAGGAGGGGGGGTAGCAGGAGGAGGAGGAGGAGGAGGAGGAGGAGGAGGAGGAAAATCAGAGCCCCGAATCATCAGGGGTAACTCGGGTCAGGGTTAACTCGGGTTCGTTTTTCGGGAATCCGAACCCGACTTACCCCGGACCCGAGTTACCCCGGATAATTCGGGCATCCAGAGCCCCGAATCATCAGGGGTAACTCGGGTCATCGGGAATCCAAACCCGAGTTACCCTGGACCCGAGTTACCCCGGATAGCTCGGGCGCCCAAGAAAAGGACAAGGAAAAGGAGGAGGAGGAGCAGCAGGAGCAGGAGGAGGAGGAGGAGGAAGAGGAGGAGGAGGGGGAGGAGGAGGAGGAGCAGCAGGAGCAGGAGCAGGAGGAGGAGAGGGGGGAAGGTTCAAAGGGCATAAACGTCCCTTTCGTTTTTGACGTTTTCTCGCACGCCTCTTTTCTTTCCTCCTGGCCCTCCTCTTCATTGTGATCCTCCTTCTCCTCTTTCTCTCTCTCTCACTCTCTCTCTCTCTCTCTCCCCTCTCCTCCTCTTCCTCTACCTCGCGTTCGCTCAATTCCGTTCCTCTTTTGCACTTCCCTTCATTATCTTCCCTTCTTCCTCCTCCTCCTCCTCCTCCTAACCACCGCGAGGTGAAACGGTGATCGGGTGGCCCACATCATTTCGGGAAGTGATTCACTCCGTCCCTTGTCACATGTCCACATTCCCGCCCTATCTCATCATACGTGCGGCTCGGATGTGCTCGCTTGAAGTGCTGTTCTACAATCCCATGCACGGTGCCGCAGACAGGTTGCATGACATCATGGAAGAACGTTGCAATCCGTAGCCATTTTGGCTCAAGCCGCGATACGGGCGAGCATACTCCCGATTCGCAGCTTCTGGTCAGGTTTGCGCTTCCCCACCATTTGTCCTGCACGCGATGACGTCCACCAATGAGCTTAATGTCGCCGATCGTCGCTTGCTGCTGCTACGAGCTGCCCTGCACTGTCTGCCAACCAGGCCATGGACTCGCCGCACATGGGCACTTTGAAGGCCTGCTGTTGCGCGGGATCCATAGCGCTCGAGTGCTGCTGCGTCAGCTGCGAGCCCGACCCCTGCTGGTCCGAGGAGCGCGGCTGCTGCGAGATCGCGGCCAAGATGCTCAGCTGCTACACGGAGACGCAGTTCCCCCCGGCAACGACGCCGGATGCGGCTGTTGCGGGTTTGCATTATGCCGCTCGAACGACGACGTACCTCTGGCCGAGGAGTGAAGGACCCTGACTCCGTGCGTTTGTTGTGCGTGCGAGTCGTTTGATGTGACGGTGTAATCTCGTCCGGCGCTTCCCCAACAAGAACAAGATCGGGCTCGCAAGAACCAATTGTTTGCAGTTGCTGTGCGGGTGCTGGCCTTTGCTGAATTGCTTGTCCGCAGCAAAGATGCCTTCTTGCGAGAAAAATCATGGAGGAATGTTGCAATTTCGACCTCATCGGACTGGCGGGGACTACGCGTCTCAGGCCCCCAGGAGCTTCAGAGCAGATGGGCAACATCACTCAGGAGGGGGCAGCATGGGCAGGTATGTAGAGAGCGGGTGGCGGGAGGGAGCAGCGCACAGCAACGAATCAGCGGGGCGCATGGTCACATGGAGGGGCAGATGGAAACACATTTTAATCATCGATTCGGCGGCGCCCCCCGACGAATTTATATGTAGGGGTCTGTCTGTTACACTACAGCTAGGTGGACAGAGGGGGATGTACATCTGCGTCTACGACCCCCAAACAAAATCTGAACCGCAGCGGAACGACCGCAGCACCTACGCATCGCACGGACAGTCGCGGAATGCATCGACCTCCAAGCGTCGAAGGCGGGACCCACCACGGCAGTCATCATAGGCGGGGATGTCAACGACGGCGTGGGCCGCACAGCCAAGGGGGACATCATCCATACCTGGGCCGTCGGCCCAGGCGGAGACCAAGAACGCCTTCCAGGCGGGGCGGGCCAACGTTGGCGGGGCTTGGCGGGGGGGGTGAACGCCGCTTGTTTGCAGCGCGTGCACGCGATCGATGGCGGCCGACCTTCTTCGGGGAAAAGAACACATCCCATATATACAGTTTCCTTACCCCACAGGGTTAGAGGCAACACGTCCAGACGAGCGGGCCCTTGTGCATGAAGTGCACGCGACATCAGATGCCGGTAGTTTCGGGACACCGTACTTACTCATATCAGGATTGCAATTCCGAGGGCGCATGGGCGCCATTAGCAGCAGCGAAACCAGTGGGACCGTCAGGCACTCGTAGCAGGAGTCCGAAACAATGCGGGCAGGGCTGAGTTCGCGGAGGAGGCAGAGAAGGAAGCGACCAGGGAGGAGAGGGAGCTCCGCGAGATCCGAGCCCAGGACGATTGCACATGCACGGGGGGGCGATCACAGGGATTGTCCAACGGATAGCTGCCGAGCACTTCTGCAGCGCAGCGGGGCGCGCCGACCTACGCCGCCAATTCCTGCAGGACAAGCTAGCTTCGCCGGCAGAACGCCGGGGCCTTCGGGGGTAGTAGGGCGAGGGGGCGGAACAGCACGTGGGCGACACCGCGTCTCGCCTGAACGCTTCCACGGTGCAGCTCGCTCGCGCGATGGGGAGAAGCGCAAATGAGAATAGGAGAGGAAAGGGTGGGGGAGCTGCGGGGGGCCTGGGGCAGGAGGGACCTAGCGCAGGCGGGCCGCCTGAGCAGGCTGCGGGCGGGGGCGCAGCTCGGACTGCGCCGCGGGAAGTACCGTAGCCTGGCTACTAGCATGCCGGCGCGAGAGGAGTGGGAGGAGTTCTGGGGGCTGCCGGGAGGTCGAGGAGGGACGGGGGCTAGCGCGACGACGAGAGAGAGCTTGAGAGAGGAGCCGCGTAGACCAGGCCCGCCCACCTGGCACTACAACCCTCAGTGAGGCCATTGATTTCGCCTAGCAGGGCATGAAGATGATTGCTCGCAGATCTTTACTGGGCGAGACTCCGCAGGGCCCACCCGTCAGGAACGGCCCCAGCAGAGGCGCGGGGGGCGCTGCTCACCGAGCCCCCAGAGGTCCAGGACAGAGGGGGGTAGGAGCATCACGACCCCGCATCTTCTTTGGGAGCTTCCGAGTCGAGCGAGAACTGGCATTCCCACAGATCCGCATCTTCCAACATGCCCCAGCAGACGGGCACATCAGCGATGCAACGGCGGCGCGGAACAAATGCAGGACGGGGCCTCGGGGCAAACGGGCCCATCATGTGATGGATGTTTGGGAAAGTGCCATTACGCGGCGCAGCTGGTCAAGGTGGGGCTCGACCGCGGAGGGGCGAGGATTGCGGTTTTGCGACGGGGGGGGGGAGGCGAGGGCGCGATCACGGTCGGACTGTATAGGACGGGGGTATCGCGCGCGGTGGCGCCCAATGATATGACCAATGCCTTTGCCGGCCAGCACTGGCTCAGCACGTGCGTTGCCGCCCGGGGACTGCCCCCTCGGGGCCAGTAGGGCATCGGGGAACGAAGGTACTGACAGCGCGCCTTCGCGGCGCCCTGCCGCGACCAACAGAGCCCGCTACTGATGCGACCAGGGCGCGGGGGGCGCATGGGGGGGCCCCACATGGTCTACTATGTCGCTGCTATGTTCGCGCGCCCAGTCGACCAGTGGAAGCAGGATTGTCTGGCCCGCCTCCCGCGTGACCAGGTGCTCCAAGTCCGGTGCCCGTTCTTCGAGCGGCCCCAATATCTGGGCCCATGCGCATGCGCAGACGTTCTCCAGAAGATCCCAGTCAGCACCTCCCCCCGCCCAGCCGCGGACCTTGCGGGGCAGGCGAGGCCGGCAGACGAGATGATCGACGAGCGACTTCGCAAGTGCGGCGCGCGGGCGCAGGGGGAGGACAGCGCAGCATCGACAATTTAGGACACGACAGCGCAGTCTTCCAGGGCGCACAGCACGGGATGCTAGATACGCGGGCCTTTACCCTAAGGCGGCGAACAGCTTTCGAGGGGACTAGAATAACGAGTGCATGATGATGCGCGCACGTGGGGGGATGAGTTGATTATCGTACAAAACGCATGCCCCTTTCAAGTGGAAGCGCTCGGTGATGTAATGCAAGGCGGCGTTCGCAGGCCTCAGCTGCATTGAGCGCGTTCTTCCCACGCAGTCCGAGTGTCGAGCGCTCGCCATGCCAGCGGCGGGTCTAGCTAGGAAATCTACGAGAGGGAAAGCTGCGAAACACTTACCAGGCGGGTCGACTAGGACCCCCACCAGCTACATGGCATTGAGATATTGGCGCATTCTGCCGCTACAGATGGAGGCCATCGCCAGACGAGTCTCGTGGATTTGCAAGGTGCTCCTGAAACCGATGCAGCACCGACGCCTGCTTACGGCCATCTTTGGACAACTGGACCCGGAGACAGACCGACGAGTGGTGAAGACAGCGCGCTGCACCAATTGTGCAAAGAATGGGCAAAACGCACCATTGGAGACCCAGAGGAGGCTAGTCGCACGGACAGTTTACCCGTAACCTTGGGAACCTGACAGAACTTGGCAGTTTCTTCGAGCCCGACTTCCAGGAGGCATTTCGCGCCTTGGGCCCCAAAGAGTTCCGACAGGCCTACAGCGCGCGCGACCCCACCGCCTGGACTCTCAGCGGGCCCCGCAGCAGCAGCAGCGGAAAATGAGGAGGAGGGGGTGGTGCTGGCAGAGCTTGCGCTGTGGAGATGCGAGATCGCGGGCGAGGCGCCGGCCCCTGCGCTGCCGGACGGACGGACAAAGGTGGGGGCGGATCTTGTGGAGTCGCGGCGGCATTTTTTTTTGCTCGCGAGACTTTCTACGCGAGTACTACAGCGGCGGAATGACGGCGGCGCAGTGCGATGGTGCGACATGCGGCATGTGCTGCAGCTCTCGCAAGGCCCTGTTTGCTCACGTGAGGAACAGACACCAATTGAGCAATCTCGCTTCTTCTGACCCGCAATGACGAATGTGTGAACTGCGGCGCACAATCTTCGGGGAAAGGAGCACAGCTGCACGACATTTGATGCGGGCCTTCTTGAAGGAACGAAGCCCAATGGATCGGAGCCGCGCGATGAGGCCAGCTGAAGAAGCGGGCCCTCGATGTGCGATATGCGGCTATGCCGACGCAGACAGATCACGGTTCTTCCAACGCCTGCGTAGCCACATTCCCAGAGCCGCTTCGCAGCCGCCGGCGCCTGTGCCCAGATCAGGAGTTGGATCCTTCAGGGCAGACGTCGACGCAGCGCCCCGCGGACCTGCAGACGGCGGCAGCGGCGGCTGCGGGCTGCGGTGGGCGAGGCCGAGCCTCCGTGCAGGGCGCGGACCCCGTCGCCAAGGGGCCGAAGCGGGCTGGCTAGCGCGCGCTGGCGGAGGCGGACGCCGATCCCAACGAGCAGCGCATGGGCAAGGGCGCCGGCAAAGACAAAGGCAGAGAAGCAGGTCGCGTGGAGCAGATTGCGGTCGCCACAGCCAAGCTGACTATGATAGTGGCCAATGATGCGCAATATCTGCAGGCGGCAGTGCACGTGGCGTGGGGGCTTGCGGCCAGCGAGCCGACGGCGGAGTTCGCTGTCCAGGCGGGCCAGAAGTACGACGCGGACGCCAAAGAGCTCAAGGAGAAGCACGCGGTAGGTCGACACAGGTTCGTTCGGACCACCACGCCTGGTGAACGCGGCGGCCGCGATCAAAGGCCTTTCGACGCTTGTGAACAAGGACTCCAAGGAGGTGCTCACGGAGTTCTAGACGACGGTGGCGTGCCAGCAGGACCCAGAGCTCCTGGGGAGCTGCGTCGCGCACTTCCAGGCGAAGAACAACAAGGCGCCGAACAAGAGAGAAAGCGCGGCTGATCTGTTACATTTGACTTGCACGAGCGCAACATGAAGATGAATCGCGACATCTTGATCGGCGAGTTCAGGAAGGAGGGAGCCCAGAGGAAGCTGGGCACAGCGCCGCGCGGTCCTGTCCAGCGCGAGTTGAAAAGCCTGGTGTATTCGATCGTGAAGTAGAGTCGGAGCTGCATGGCGAATCGGTTCCGAGGGTGCAGACCCGCGGGAGGCTACAGACACCGTTGCTGGACACACATAGAGCCCCGAGTGAAGCACCGACAGCTCTCAGAGAGAGAGAGAGAGAGAGAGAGAGAGAAAAAACGATACGCGGAGCTAGCAGCCGCTGGCCGCCTGCCAGCCCCGCGGGAGCCCAGCTTGCCTGTTCCAGTCCTTCAGTCCTCCCTCAGTTCCAACCTCTTCGCCTCTCGTCCGGAGACCCCTCGAGCACGAGGAAAAGGGGAACGACATAATATTCTCAGCCAGTCAGAGCGGCACAGTCGCGGAAAGTAGACAGCGCAACGATTTTGTCCGAGTGCACGCACGCCATTAGCTCGCCGAGTGCGGGAGTGGGGCGCGCGCAATGCCTGCATGCCTTGTGGCATCCGCGCACGTGGGAGTGAAGGGGTGAGCCCAAGCTAGACTCAAAACGATGCTAGTCTGATCCAATAGCCGACGACACGTTGAGCCCAAAGCATCGTCAGTCAGCCCTCCTCCTCCTCCTCCAATTCCTCTCCCCCCTTCACGTCATTAGTATTTTTATTATTATGGTTGTTTGATTATTCTTTTTCTTACTATTATTGTTTTTCCTCCTCCTCCTCCTCCTCCTCCTCTTCCGTCTACTCCTTGTCCTCCCCCCCTTCCTCCTCCTCCTCCTCCTTCTCCTCCTCCTCCTCCTCCTCCTCCTCCTACTCCTCCTCCTCTTCATCCGTCTCAGCATCCTTCTGCGGGGGGACCACCAGTTCAGCGTCGTGGGCGAAGTACAAAGACATTCCTAATGCTGGCGTGGGGAAATTCAGAAAAGCACCAGGAACATCATACTTACCCAGTGACGTACCCAACCCTTCCTCGACATTGCGACTATGCCCAGGACCGTTCACTACAAACGAACATATTGAAGGACCCGCAGTGCGCATGAGCACCCAGAAGTGAAGTCAGTAGTGCGCGGCAGCGGGAGTACGACAGAAACAGCTGGGTCCGCATACACCTCCACCCCGCTGGACCCCCCCCCAATAACCCACGAAAGTGGCGACAAATTCACATTCCGCAGCCCCCCGAGGAGCCGCGAGGCCTCGGCAAGGTGTTCGTGGCAATCCGCCGGGCTCCCAGGAGCCCACGAAAGTGGCGACAATGTCACACTTCGCAGGCCCCCACGGAGCCGCGAGGTCCCATCGGGATATCCCGTTCCCCCCTCACACACTCCGCTGGACCCCCCAGCAGCCCACGAAAGTGGCGACAATTTCACTTCGCAGCCTTCCAGGGAACCGCAAGGTCTCAACTGGGTCCCCGTACAATTCCACTCCGCTGAACCTCTCGGGAGCCCACACTTCTCAGCCCCCCCAGGGAACCGCGAGGTCTCAACTAGGTCCCCTCTACAATTTACGCAGAAGGCATCTATACACCACCACCCTTCCTGGCCAGGGCCATCCTGGGCCCCGGCATGGTGTACACGCCTCCCGGCCGGGGCCAGAAGGGTCTATACACCATCGTGTAGCCCAGGGTGGCCCTGGCCGGGTACGGTGGTGGTGTACAGATGGTATTTGCTCTGCACGCCCGAAATGGGTACTGAAAGAATGGGTACGATGCCCAACAGCAGCTCCTGTTCATTTTGAACAGGACTCGCTGTCCGCGCCGCCGCGGCCTGTGTCCATTCGAGACAGAAGGCCGCCTGCCAAACAGCGGCTGCTGTTGGTTTGGGACAACTTTTGTTGTTGGGCATTGTACCCATTCTTTCGGTACCCATTTCGGGCGTCCAAATTTGCGGATGCAAGTCCACTCCGCTGGACCTCCCAGGAGCCCACGAAAAAGGCCACCCTTTCACACCTCGAAGCCCCCTCCAGAAAGCCCCGCGAGGTGTGGCCGGCGCCCTCGCCGTTGCGCTGCGGCCAGTGCCAGGACGCGCGGGGCGCCTTGGTTGCGGGGGGGGGGAAGGTGTCTGCCGCTGGCCGCCGCTCCCCCCCCCGCGGCTCCTCCGGCTCGTCATGCCTCCTCCCTTCCTGCTCCTGCCCTTCCCTCGTCCTGCTCCCTCCTCCCGCTCCTCCCGCTCTCTTGCCTCCCACCTCCTTCGTGGATCCTGTTGATCCTCCTCCTGGCCTCCTGTTGATTTCTCCTCCTCCCTGCTTCTCCCTCCCTCGTCGTCGTCCTCCTCCTCCTCGTTCTCTCCTTGTCTCCACTCCAGGCCTCCCAAATCGGGCCGCAGTACGGTAATGGGGTATCAGGATCGCGCCGCATCGCCTTCGTATCGACAATACGGCGCGATCTGGAGCCCTGATATGACGTCTCCATGCCGCCGTTGTATCGGCACTGGATCGTCAATGCGGTTTGATCCTCCGACCCCATCTACTTCGGCTCGGAATGAGACACCTCCATCCTCCCTAATCCTCCCTCATCCTTTTCCTCCTCGGGAAACAGAGGGTCAAGGAGGGAGGGGGGGCGGGAGTTCGGCTTCACGTAAGACTTCAAGCGTGACCCTTCGCCAGGGTGGCACTTGATGCTGGCTCATTGGGGCCCCGCGATTGCTGAATGCGATGCGAGAGCAGCTGCTTGCACGCTTGGGTTGACCCACCCGCGTCCTCCCAAAACCGCGCACCAAAGGCCATTCTTGAAGGATGGAGGCAGCGGAGGGAGGAGGAGAGAGAGACGGAGGAGGAGGAGGAGGGCTGACGACGAGGGAGAAAGAGGAAGAAGAGGGAGGAGGACGAGGCAGGAGCAGGATGAGGAAGAGAAGGCAGGTGGGAGGCATGGAGGGGAGGAGGGAGGAAACGGAATGATAGGTGCAGGAGGAGGGAGAATGAGGCCCGAAATTGGCCTCCCTGAGGTCGAGATCGAATAGAGCGTCGGCATTGCGCAAGAAGAGGACGTAGGAGGACTGGGCCCCTCCAGCCCCATCCCCCAAGCGTCGTCTCTGGTTCGTCACGTGGACTCCCAGAGGTCTGGAACCCTTCCCCGAGACCAGCTTTGACGGCCTGAATACGTGGTGATGACCCCTGGAGCTGAACATACAAAAGACAAACCGCTACCTTCGCTCCCTCCGGCCCTTTTTTGAGCTCCCATGCGCGTTGCCGCCGCACGCGTTCTACCTTCACATCTGTTTAACGGAACATTGAAGCGATGTCGGACGACTTCGTTAAGGACCCATCCATCTACAATATCCATATGTAGGGGCCAACAGAGTTAGAAGATCAGAGCAAGGGAGACGTTCATTCGTCAGGGATGTTGATCACCAGACGGAAAACAAACCCGCCCGCCGTGATTGGCTCACGACTCGAGGGGGTTTGGTAGCAGGGCGATCCGGCCGCGGCGCTGAATATCATGCCGCTTGGAGATGTCCGGAGGCCTAAGCAGGCGCAAATCGCCCAAAAACGAATCAATCCTCCTCGAGGCTCGGTTTGGCCCCTCGCCATGGCACGCGCGGGTTGGCGCACGCCGGAGTTACCATCAGCATTGGGTTGCCCGCGGCCGAGCGGCGTTCATGAATCAGTCCTGGGCGTGTGTTGTGCAGTCCTGCCGTGCTCGATCCCTTCTCTGGGCGCGTTTGGTTGAATCGTTTCGCTTGAAAGGGTGCTTATCATTAGGGTGGCTTTTTCGGCCATCAACCCGGACCTTCCACGTGTTGACGACATCCATGCGGAGGTGTTCCGTAGTTTTCGGCTCGTGGGGGCCTTCGCCGGACCCCAGGATCGTCAACAACAGTTCAGGATGAAAAGCGGGTCCCTGGGAACGGGTCGTGACTTCTCGGGTCCCACTATTGAAAACAAAAAACAGTGCGTCGGATCTTTGAGTTCCTTCTTTTGCCCTCTACACGCGCACCCTGCATGTTTGGCTGTCGGGCCCTGGGCTCCCCGGCCCCTCCCGGCCTGGCGAGGAGGTCGTCGCGGAGGTGGCCTGCGAGAGTTGCCATGAGGAGTTCCCCGTGGGGAGAAGACGGAAACCAGACACCCGATTTGCCTCGATCAATGCCTGCGATGTTTCCTCGATTTCGCCCTCGTGTGGCGATTTATGAGCCCTGCGCCGCCGATCCCGCCACTTCCGCCGCCGATCCCGCCGCGCGCCCCCCCCTCCTCCAGCCTCGGGCTGCCAGTTGCCGGGTCCTGCTGCCGCCGCCGCTGCCGCCGCCGCCGCCGCCGAGGTCATCGCCAGCGCCACCTCTGCCGACTTCGCTGGGAGGCGGTGATGGGGGCGAACGGCCCAGGGTGGTGTTGTACTCAGAGCGTGAATTACCTACCCCGCTTTCGCTTCCAGGCAAAACCAAGTCATACCACGCGCCTCCTCGTCAAGCGGCCTGACCAGTACAGGCCGCAGTTTGGCATCGTTTGGTATCTCTTGGAAGCGAGGGTGGTCAAAAGCGAGGTAGGTTTGTCTTCCCCCTATATGCGTGTCTCCAGGGGCGCCGATGGCCCATATCCCCAGCGAGGCCCCCCGCCGAAGAAAAAAATGCTCACGCGTCCTGCTCCCCCTTCTCGTCGCCGCCGGTGCGCCTCGCTGCCGTCGCCGATGCCGCCGCGCGCGGCGTCCTATCCTTCTCCTCTCGGGGGTGGACAGAACCCCCAACAGTGACACGTCGATTAGTGAATTGTCCGTTTTCGGTTCTCGAGAGGGCGCCGTGGCCGTCATTTTCCAGGCTTGCGCCCGCCAGGTTTGGGCCTCAGGTCGTTTTCACTGAACCACGTTTTACTAAAGGGGGGTCTGTCCATCCCCGATCCTCTCGGGCTGCCGGCGGGCAGGTTCTGCCACTGGTGCTCGGCGGTGGTGCACCGGGCGGGCCGCATGCGCAGCCACCAGCTCGTGCCGCTCACGGGCGCCCCCCCCCCCCGCTTGGGCCCCGTGGCGGTTCGCCTCCTCTCGCGGCGTGCGCTGCTGCGGCCGGGCGCCTCCTGCGGGCGTCCGAGGCCAGCTGCACCGCGCGCGAGGTGCTGCATGAGCACGGTGCCCTTCCCTTTCTGCGGCCGCCCTCCTCTCCACAGGGCACTCCGCCCCGCCGCGTCCCTTGTGAGCTGCTCGACGACGTGCCGCTGCTGCATGGGCGTCTGTCCCCCCCCTGCCCATGCGGCTGCTTCCTCCTTTGCCTTCGCATCTCTCTCTCTCTCTCTCTGTCTTGCATGGGGCCTGATTCGCGTCCGCGTGGCCCGCTCACGCCCGACCGGCCCCGACCGTTTGCCCACGCCCACTCACCACGAAACATGTTGTTTCTGCCGCTGCACCCGAGGACTTCTGACGTAGTGAGTTGCCAAATCCCTGATTCTTGTTGGCGATTTCGACACCCGCGGGCCCCGGACCACAATAGAGCTTCGCTTCCGGAATAAACTGATCTCCAGGCAGGGATCCAGATACCGGGGGACCTCGCATATACCGTCCGCTGTTTTTTCCCGATGTTCATGTCGGAAGGTGTTTTTCAGTTTTCGGCGAATGGGGGCTTCCACCAGGCTCTGGCCTCAACGAAAATGTCTTGGGACGAAAAGCTGGCCCCAGAAAAGGGGTCGCGAAGTCGCGGGTTTGGGCCTCCATCCTTCATCCTCCTCTTGCTTGTTCTCCTCCCCCCTCCCTCCTGCGTCCCCTTCCTTTCCCCTGCCTCCCCCAAGCCCTCCTTGTCATGCTCCTCGTCGCACCGTCCGGGTGTCTTCTCGGAGGCCTCCTTGCTGCTGATAGTTCGTGCCGCCGCCGCGCATACCCGACTTCGCGCTGTGGAGGGGTGGCGAGGGGGAGGGGGGCTTGGGGAGGGGATTGGGGGCCTCTCCGAACATTTCCAGACCAGCCACACTTGAGGGAGCTGTGTTCCTTACCCCCTTTGGGGACCCATCAGTAGGTTCCCCCAGGGGGTAAGGAACACAGCTCCCCCAGCGGCTGGTCCGCGTTGACATGGAATTTCCAGGTGTCCTGCTCCCTGCCCGCTCCGTGCCTCGCGCGGGGTTGCTGGGTGCGCGCGCGAGCCCAGCGGCGAGGCCTGCCGGATCGCACCCCTTTGGCCGTTTGCCTGTTTCTTTCGCCTTTTGGTTCTCTCTTGCTCTGTCCTCCCTCCCTCCCTCTATCCCCTCTCGTGCCCGTTGCGTACCTGGGTGGATTGTCGCCCTCGCCCACCTGGCCAATTGCCAAGAACCCTATCATGGACATCGGCGCTGAAATCCGAACCCTACCCTCGCCGGTCAAGGATTCAGGCAACTCGATGGACGGCGGGGCTAACTGAGGTTGGGAGTTCGTTGAGCACGTGGCAGAATCCGAACCCTAACCCCCGCCTTCACCGATTCAGGATCGACGATGATTGGTCGGGGTAGGGTTCGGATGTTGCCACCTAGGATGGGCGCGCCCCATGGTCGCGCCGCGGCTAACGCTACCGAACCACGCCCCGCCGTCTCGCCTGCGAGGGCCCACTTGGCGTTTCGGTTAGAACCCTCCCGCCAGGCCGACCTTCCAGGCGCCAGGACTTGGGGCCGCCTGGGCACGGATACGCGCTGGGGGTGGCCGTTTGGGCGCTTTTACAGCACGGGGCAACAGATTTGAGAGGAGCAAGCAAGAAGTGTCTGGGCGCGCATTCGCCTCGGCACACGGCGCTTCGGCGGAACTCTGAGAAGGTCTGGTGTTCCACCCGGTTGCGAGAACGGAGGCGGAGCCGCTTTAGGATGCGTCCGTTCGCCCGCGCCCTCCCAGCTCTTGCTCGCGATGTGCAGGGACCCAAAAGGTTCAGGAGGGGAAACAACACAGACACAATTATTCGTCGATCCCTAGGAACATCTGGGAAAATATGGGAAGTGGTGGGGAAGACAAAAACCTAGAACATAGAGGAAACTATGGGGAATATGTTTGTTTGTGTGTATCTATTTGTGTGTCCCAGTTTCCCTTTAAAGGTAGTGGCCTCGAGTGGACGGGGTGGGCCCCTGAGCTCTCGCTCCTGTGCGACACTGCCCCCCATGTCATGGGCGGGGTTCTCGTCTGGCCAGCTAGCTGCATGGGTCAAGGGCGGCGTTGGCTCGGAGTAGCGCCATGGCGTGGGATGTCCTCGGCAGATCACAGCACGACAGGGACCTGATGCTGCCAGCGCCCACATAGATTACTAAGGTACCGTTTTCAAGTTCGCGTGCTCGCATAACAGGCCCATAGAGTCACGAACGCCCAGTGTGTGTGTGTGTGTGTGTGTGCCGACTGGGGGCGGGTCGTGTTCGAATTCACGGTCTCGTTCTGACGCCGCAGACACTATCCTGCAACGTTCCCACAGGTTGCAGAATGGAGGTGGCTCGTTTTCATAGTTGTGTGTAGTGTCCTTCGCTCGCATCGTAGTAAGTGTCATCTGCGTTGTAGTATTCATTCTTCAATTCAACGCCCCTCAGAGGGCAGACACCGCCGCCCAACCTTCTTGGAGCGCGGAGTTCGTGGGAGGAGGTCCGAAACGGCGTGCAATGGTGCAAGTCGGCGCAAGAAACGGCCAAAGAGGGAGACAAGAGGCTCCGACAACGGCGTCTACGGGTACCCGAAGGTGTCGACATTTGGGAACGAAACCGCAGAGGAATACGGAGACTCGGAAAGGAGCAAACACAAGTGATTTTTTGGTTTCGTAGCTTTTCGGCTGAACATGACTGGAAGAGGGCTTCGGAGATGTCCGAGACGGTTCCGGTGGGCCCAAAACATTGGCGATGACCCGAAGAGGGCCCGAAGAGGCTCGAAAGACTGCGAAGGAAGGCCTCTTGGAGAGGCCCAGGGGTCCGAGAGGCTCCGAATACGACCGAAAAAGGAGGTGGACAGGGTGCAGAGTTGGGAGCGGAACTGAAGAGGGATACCGAGAGGCGAAAAGGAGCATCCACAATTAGATTTAAGTCGGGCATGTCCCTCTACAGGTGGAATATTCCAGAATAGTAAGCAACGGTCTGGGGACAACTTTCCGTATTCTTCTTGTGGACTATTTTGAATTATTTGCGCAATTGTTTTTATTGTTCTTCCAAAATCCGGTTGTAGGATAACATGCCCGACCTAAAGTTAGTGTGGGGTCTTCAGAATGTCCCTCCAGAGATCCCCGGGGCGTTATCAGGGCGGGCCATGAGGTCCCGAAGGGCGGGCAGAGGAGCCGAGTTGGTTCTGAGACTTCTCGAGAACGGCTGAAGATGGCGGGAGGATAGTTGGAAGCGGCTCCAGGAGCGCTCCAAGTGGCGGGAAGGGGAGGCCCAAACGACAACAATTATCGACATCGTAGGCCTAGAGGTTGACACCAACACCGATATCGGCGGTGTGCCTCCACCCAGGGAAGATGATCTCAGTCTCGGTGACGATGGTAATCGTCGGGCTTACTGCGTGGCCAAAATATTACCACCAACACCATCATCTAGGTTAATCTTCCTCCCGTGGGGACAACCCCTGGTGTTGGTGTTGGTGCCCATTTCCAAGCTCCCAACAAAGTCCCTTTGGTCTTGAACGCTCGTCTTTCCTCGAGGCTTCATGATCGGAAGAGGGCTTCGGAGATGTCCAAGACGGCCCCAGACCCCGGAGGGCCCCAAGCATGGTCCAAACGACCCGAAGGGGCTCCAAGGGGGTCCAAAGATTGCCAATGATGGCCTCCGAAGAGGTCGCAAACGGCGCCCGACGGCGTCCAGAAGTTTCCCGTGCGAGGATTTGCGTGAGTTGAGGGCGAAATGGCGGCCAGCGGACGCCCGTAGCGCAGACGACGCCCCCTGGCCAGTGGAATTCAGCAGGCCGCGGGGAGGACTCCAGAAGGGGATCTCAGGTCTCTGAGGGAGGGCATGGGCACAATGAGTGCGCAGGTCAGAGGATTTGGGGCAGACCATGCGGCGGGGATCTCACACTCCGTACCCTGTGGGGCGGCGGATCGTTTCGCGCATTCCGCCGGCTTTTATTGTATGTAATTGATGGACTGGGATTGAGCATCTTCGGACTTGACACTGACGCATTCACCTTCAGGTTTCGTCCTCGCACTGGGCCCCGCCGCCCCCGGTTCGCTGACGCAGCAGCCGCCGCGCGCCAGGCGGCGGGGCCGGCCACGCCACAAGCTCGGGGAGCGTTCTGTCCCCAGAGCCGCCAGCCTTTTCTTTTTCCCCACATCCTAAGTGGGGTTCTTGTTTTCTCTGCACACACTCTGCGCAGGATCTCTCGTCCTCCTCCCTCTCCTCTGCTCCTCTTTGCTTCCTCCTCCGCATCATCATCACCATCACCATCACTCCCCACTCATCATCATCATCACCATCAGCATCACCATCACCATCGCACGATCACTCACCATCATCGGCATCGAACGATCATCATCATCATCATCATCATCATCATCATCATCATCATCATCATCATCATCATCACTACTCGCTGACTCACCACTTCGTCCCCATCATCATCACCACCATTTACCATCAGAATCGCACGATCACTCACCATCAGCACTCATCATCACCACCATCATCATCACGTCGTCATCATCACCACCACCATCATCATCATCCTCATCATCATCATTATCATCATCATCATCATCATCATCATCATCATCATCATCATCATCATCATCATCATCATCATCATCATCATCATCATCATCATCATCATAATCACCGTCGTCATCATCCCATCACCATCATCCACCAAGAGGGAGCCTCGTCTGTGAGTGAATTGTGAGGAAGTCTCAGGCGGGAGCCCCCTCCCTATGGGGCCCGCAGATCATGTTACTAATCCGAGCGGGTCATCGGATTCCTGTAACTGTCGTCACTTTTGGGCTCCTCAGGTCTGAATTTGGAGGAAGTATCAAGCGGGAGCCTCGTCTGTGAGTGAATTGTGAGGAAGTCTCAGGCGGGAGCCCCCTCTTTGTGGGGC